GGAGAGGGAGAGAGAGAATCTTAAGCAGGCTCCCTGTTGAGTGTGAAGCCCTGTGTGGGGCTTGATCTCAAGACCCTGAGATCATGATCTGAGCTGAAATCAAGAGTCAGATGCTCAACGGACTGAGCCACCCAGGTGCCTCAATGGGATCACCTTCTCACTGGTCTTGCTTCCCCTCATGCCCTCCAAATGGCAGCTGAGTCACATCTTCCCTCTCTTGTGCTTAAATTTTTCAGTGGCTTCCCACTGAATTCGGAATGTTGCCATGACTTACTGAGTCCCACACACCCTGGCTCCTCTTGATCTTGCTAACCTTGCTTCTTCTTCCAGGTCCCGCCACATGGATTCATCAGTATTCCTTGAATATGCTCACATCTATCCCACTCAGGATCTTTGCTATTGCTGGCCCTCTGCTTGAACATATCTTTGCGCTCTTCTCTACCTAGCTGACCTTTTCTCATGCTTCCAGTTTCAGCTTCCATGTCACCTGCTCAGAGAGCTCTTAAATCAGTCTTCTTTAGAACACCTCCCTCTCCCTGCTCTGGCTCCTCTATCTATTCTCTATCACCACACATGAACTTCTTGGGTAGCATTTATTTTCATCCATAATGGTCTTGTTTTGTTTGTTTGTTTGTTTTTAATGTCCTGATTAATCGCTGGTCTCTTCAGCCCTAATGAGAGCTTCAGGAGGGAGCCCATCTACCTTGCATTCTTAGTCTGTCTGAATTAAAGAATAAACAAGCAAATGTGTGTGGGGGGGCTACTAAAATGTTCCAAATAGAACACAACGTATGAAATCTTGGCCATTTTTTAACTCTCTTCTCTTCATAGAGTAGACTAGCACTGCCGATGAGTTGCAAGCCTGCTGCTTAAATATTCATTTCAATGTTCAACTTGTATTAATCACCAAGGCCTGTTGATTCTCGCATCTAATTACTTCAACATTTTGTCTTCCTCTCTTCTTGCAACACCAACTCCAACCATCCCGGTCAACCATCCCATCCCCCTTCCATGGGTCACTGGGATGGGCTCCTAATTTCTCTCTCCACCATCAGGTCTCCACACATCCTCTTCTTGATAGATGCATCTTTTAATGTCACTTTTAACCTGTCACTTCACTTTCCAACAACAGCAACAATAACAGCAACAACAACAACAACTAAACCCCAAACCAACCCATGTTCTATCTTATTATAGTAGGTCTCAAAAATCACATTATATTCAACTGTATCCTTCCCAACTGAATCAGTCAATAGTATTTCCCACTACTCTTTAAACACTCAAATACTTACTTTTCTATCCCCAAAATAAACCAAGCTCATACCTCTCTTTGTATTCTTGCTCAGCCATGTCACAGACTAGGAGGCCCTTTCCCCCTCCTTCGATCTAAACCAAAACATTTTCTTCAAAGGCATAGTTCAAATCCAGCTTCTCTCATGAAACCTCCCCTCCCAGCTCCAGCCCATGTGTACTTTCCTTTTTCTCAATTCCTAAACCATTGTTTACACCACTCTTCCATGTAACACTTGATTATACAAGACTTATCTCTGTTATCCTTCGATTATTTCCTAAGCGTACATTTTCTCTCCCCAATTGGATTCCGAGCAGGGGCTGTGTCCTTTCTATCCAGGCAGTGGCAGAAGTAGCACTGATCCAACAGCAGCCACTTACGCCGACTCACTGATTGACATGGTAGTGACGAGGAATCCCTTCAACTACAAACAACGATTCTAGATAACTTGCAATCCCCAAACAGAACATAATGTTCCTTGGTCCTAATCTCTCCCACATGAACTCCCAATGCCTACAATGTTCCCTTTCCACCTTCATTCACCTGGGAAACTCCTAATTCTCTTTCGGGTCTCAACTAGGACAACGTTTACTAAGAAAAGGAAAGCATTGTCCCTTCCTTACCCATCCGCCTATCCCAGTATCTACCTATAGTGTAGTTCCTATAGATTCCCATTAAATACTCTTAACCCATAGCATGTGGCACTCTATATTATAAATGACTATTTGTCCACTGGCCTCCCTGACTGGTCTGGGCGCGACTTAGGCTCAAGTAATTTATCTTTTATCTTGATAATAGCAGAGTGACAATGCTATATTATTTGTTGAATAAATAAATGAACAAACTAGCAAAAAAGCTGGCACTAAAATCTGTTGAAAGAGCTAAGAATAGGTATCAATTTAGTTTACGTAATTTAAAACAGGCCACAGTTCATACCATTAGAATGCTTATTTGTTATTAATTCCAGTTGTTAAGCATCTACTATGGGTCAAGCATGGGGATACAGAAAAGACTCAAACACATAAAATCCCTAACCTCATAGAATGTGTATCTTACTAGGTGAGACGGGCAGGAGTACAGTGTTTGCTCCAAGGTGGAGAGCACAGAGATGCTATCAGCAGAAGGCTTCTTTCTGCAAGGATGCTGACATTGAGACAACGCTGCCTTGGACCAAAATGGTGGCACTTTGAATGGTGTGTAGTGGTTACATTATGGATGTACTTTAAAGTCAGAGCCAACAGAACTGATTGATGGACTGAAAGTCAGGTGTGAGGGAATGAGAACAGTCAAGATTGGATTTTAGTCTGTGCAACTGTGGAATGGAATTTGTGCAGGGTTTGGAAGTGTATGATTTTGGAAAGAGTGTGTAGATATATGAAGAGAGTCTCTAAAATTAGGCCTTAAGTTTTAATAATCTATTTTGTATAACTGAACTTCCCTTGGGCATATTTCCCATGAACAATAAGAGTCCTTGTGGCTTCTTAGACAAACTGGTAACACCGAATAGACGAATCTTGGACAGCTGCAGCTAACAACGCTCCGTGAGGCATTGCCTATACCAGGCACCCCATAAAAGCCACTGCAATTTATCCTCCAAAACTGTCTCAAGTTCTTTTTTTAAATGACTAACGCAATGCAGCTAGTGCTAGGGGTTACAATTGCTGTGATTGCTAAAAACCACTTCAAAGCTCACACGATTATTATCAATATGAAGATTAATAATTATACTTTGAATTCTACTGAATGGTGATTTAGATGTCAAAGTGGACACGTATAAAAGAAGGCAAAATTTTTATCCTGCCCTAGACCATAATCTAGTCTAAGGTCAGAGGAGATGACCTTGACCTAGGAGTAAAAGGACATGGAGGAAATGTGGGTGACCTGGAATGACTTAATCCATTTAAGACTAAAGTCTGAGATAGAACAGCAAGGGATTTGGGCTGTCGGGCAGCTACCTAAACAACCGGAATAATCAGCTCCTGTGCTTAATGGCTATAATTTGGGGTAAGGCTGGTAATAATGGTTTATTTTTTTTCATGTGTGGAAGTATATGCCTGCAAAACTTACTGAATTTGGGATTCGAAAAATGAGACTGTTTACAAACACATGATGCAACCGTAAGTCAGTATAATGACTAAGTCTCTTGCAGAATAATTCAGCAGTGGTCATGATGAGTTAGAACTTGGACTTCTGAGTTTTCATGGGGCAGAAACAAACCATTCTCACTCAGTCTGTGAGGATCCCCTGCCCCTTCTAGACTCTAAGTAGTTTACACAATAAACAGTTATTTCCATAGTAGAAATGGGCCAAGACGTCTAAGCTCCAAAGTTAACCTGTTATTATGGTTAGAAATCAAGATTGCCATTCTTCCAGGTTTTCACAGCCACACAACTTTTGACCTAGCTGGTGGAAATGTAAGAGTAAATATAGTTCCCTGACCTCTTCACAAAGGCAAAAATCAACAGGCTCAGGTATTTATTTCACTGGAAAGTGATCGGGCACAAAGACGCATTACAGTGGATTCAGATAATGACAGGACTCTACAAACTTTTTTCAAAGGAAAATTTTAGGCAAGAGTTCATCCATACACTGTCTGTGTCCTCTTATTTAGGAGTTTGATATAAAGCACTGATTTGAAAACCTTATCTACTCCACAATTTATCAATGGCATCACATAATAAAATGAAAACTTTTAGACTCATAATTCACACCCCAAAATCAGACACCAGGCCCATGAGGGGAAATCTCATCACCAGCATATGGAGAAGGGAAGACTTCTTCCACCTAAAATTCCTTCATAACTGAGATGAGTCAGTTCCTTCCCTATCTTGAAAATTATGCTTTAAACCCATCTCCTTCCATGAAAAAAGACAGCTGTAACCCTTCCCAATCCCCACAGCATTGCAAGCGTGGTTTTCACTATGGAGTCTGTATTTCTAGCCTCTGGATATTTCTTAAGCACTGAATGACTAATTACCAGAAGAAAAGTCATGTATATATACCCATTCTGCTTCCTAGAAGACACTAAGTGAATGCACAGTCAACCCAAAAAGAGACAGTGTTCCACTATGTGGTCCTTTTTAACATTATAACAAACAATGTGAATAGAAGGCAAACAGCAAGGGCTTAAACTTAAATTCTTCTTGTAATCCTCATATTTCAGTGTCAATTTTTTATACATTTGCACTATTGCAAAAACAACATATTTTTTAAAATCCCTGAAGTAATCATAATAGACAAGCATATAAGAACAGGAACAATCCGTTGAAATGTAGAGTTAAAATTTGCAAATTGAAAAAGGTGATATCAAACAAGAACTTCATGAAGAGAATGTCAAAACTGTACTCAAATCTTTTCTTTCTACACTAAAAAATCAAAGATGCAGGAAAATTTGAAACTATTTGCCCCCCAAAAATCATCATTTCAAGCCATTTCTTGACATTAATATCCATTAGTCAAATGACTCAAATGCTCTGCTCTCCAGGTTCATATGCATTTTAAATTTAAGTTAGTATTCCGGCACAATAATTAATCCATTTCCATCATTCCTTTGTTCAACTTTTAAACCCTTTTTTCAAAATCAATTTACTAAAATCTAGCTTTCTACCTTCCATAGACCGATTTGACCAACTGTAAAAGAAAAATTCAAACATGAAGTTTAGCTCACAAGCTGTACCAAAATTAAAAAACAAAATAAGTTGTCTCCTACCTATAGTTGTTATAACAGTGCCAGCAAAGAAGAAGGAACTTCCCAAATCCCAGTGACTGATTTGATTGGAGGTGTTTCCTAAAGGTATAATCCCTGCATTTATTGCTGCCACTATTTGCTGCAAGTTTAAAAAGAAATTTATCAGTACACATGAATCACATGGAGGCATCAAACAGTGTATATTTCACCCCAGTTGACGAATTAGACAAAGAGAATCAATTCTAAGGCCTGGTTTTCCATTTGAAGTATACAATATAGATTAAGGCTTTATACTAAAGAATGTAATAAGTTAAATGATAAGAAAATTGTATTGTATATCAAGTGAATGGATCTGTATGGAGCACATATTATACCAATATGCATTCATATCTCATCCATTAACATATTCAGTGCCTTATTTGAATTAACTACTAAATACAACCATGCTTTTTAGTAAGCACCACAGAGTTAAAATACCAGATTGCAAACTTACAATTTAAATAATATATAATAGCTTCATCAAAAAGTATTTCTAAGAGTGCTCATCGTTTTGAATGTTAAACATATACAGCCAAGCCAGGGTTGTGTATAACTGTAAAGCGTATTTATTAATAAGGTCCAACAAAACAGGCTAAGAAGGAAAGGCAACAGCAATTCACTATCCCACTTCAGTTAGTCCATGTATATCTAGATTCTTAGAATTTCTGCAGACTTTTTATAAATTCTATGACAATATCATAGCACCACCAAAATATCACCAAAGACCCATAGATGACAATCACTCAACAATATTCATATAGGGACACTAGGGTCTGGATGCTGCCTTAAGTAATTCAGAGAGACAGACAGGAAGATGACATTACAATCCCTTCAATCATCAGATGTTGAGCAGGGGATGGGAATATTCAGAAGCACAAAACATAGAAGAGAATATGTTAGGAGAAAATTGTGTAGTAAAAGAGGGACATACAGATTGTAGGGAAAGATGTTTCCGTGTATAGTTTTAGAAATCTTTATCATTTAATTTCCAGATTATAAAATTGGAAGGAGCGTCATTTGATAGGCAAGGAAATTAAAGACCAAGAGAGGTAAAGTGACTTGCTGTATACTGAACTTTGTTTGATATTGTTTTGTACCTGGAGAACCAAGTAAGCAAGCTTATAGCTTTACAAATAATGGTATTTTACCTCTACATCTTCCAAAAGTTATGTTTTACTACCTTTCATCCCTTATTACATTGGTATTTCCAGAGCAATGTTAAATAAAAATAAGGAAAGCAGACTTTTTTGTCTTTTGTAGCATAAAATCCTCAATGTTTTAGTATTTTATCATTAAATATACTGACTACTGGTAAGAAAATGGTATTTAATTAAATAATTATAAGAGCAAGCAAATAAAAAGGATAAATAAAACTTGAAAATCTAAAAATGTCTTTGGAAATATTTTCAGATAGCAATAAACACAAGGGAGGTACACATAAACATTGTAAGCACAGGCTTGTAATCTCTAGCTTTGCAACTCCCAGAAAAACTAATGCTGCCAGTAAAAATATCAAGGAAAGGAGGGTGGATTTAGATACATTGTAATTATATCCCAAGTATATTTTTATAGTTTTAGACATTTCTTCAACATATTCATTTATTCAAAAATATTTATCAATTGCTTATGATGCTAGGCAATGGGGAAACAACAGAGAAGTAAAAAAAAAAGACATGGGTGACAGTTATATATATATTTAAGATTTTATTTATTTGTCAGAGAGAGAGCACAAGCAGGGAGATTAGCAGGCAGAGGGAGAAGCAGGCTCCCCGCTGAGCAAGGAGCCTGACGCAGGACTTGACCCCAGGACCCTGGGATCATAACCTGAGCCGAAGGTAGATGCTTAACCAACTGAGCCCCCCAGGCGTCCTGGGTTACATAGTTATAAATGAGAAAAGATAAGGCATGTCTTTAGACTCTACCCCATTAAATACAATTATTTTATTGATTAGAAGCAAGGTAATTTCTTCAACAATTGACTAAAACAGCCTACATGGTCAGCACTATTATTTTAGCCAATTCTTTTGTTGACAATGATGAGATGCAACATTACCCAGACACTTGGATAACATCCACAAATTATTTAAATGCAAAAGAAGTAAATGTAGACTTAGAAACAGCAATGTCTTACAATGTGCGGGTTTTAAATAGTTATCACAGAGCTGTGATGATTGCAACAGAGGCTTGAGATGGAACTGGGAATATGTCAAGTCACTATGAGAATGAGTCTACCATGAGGCTCTTTATTTGGAATATTCTTGTGAATTTATTTTATATTTTTGTACAAGATCTTTTGGTCAATATCCACAGGAAATGGTTGCCCTTGGCAAGTATACTGATACAGGTCTAAGAGTCTTGAATTTCAACATCAATTCAGGCTATCAAAGCACTTCACAAATGCTTTCTTTAGAACTGTTTCTGTATGTGCCATATTATGTGACTAAAGTAACAATCACTTCATCAATAATAAAAATTAATTTTTCCATGACAGGTAACTTTTGTAAACAATCGAGTCACATTGACAACTTACAAATAAGTTGAATTGTTTAGAGTAAAGGAAATTTGGGTCTATGCATCTAATCCTAACACAGAATTACTTGAAGTGCTGATTAAAGAAGGACTTCCAAACTTAAAATCTACAATAGAAAGAGTGTAAGATAATCTTGTTTGGATTCACATTTAATTTTGATCTTTAGTATATAGACAATCATAGAATGTGCATTAAGAAAAGGAAGTTGAATACATGGTTCTAGTCAGGAGTATGAGTTGAAACTTCAGAAATAGAGCTCTAAGAGCTTTGTACTCATTGAGATGATAAAGGTAATTACTCATAAAAGTAATGACGAATAATCTGAGTTTCCATGACAGTGATGTCTTTAGGGCAGAAGTTCACAGAGTTCTACTGTGATTTTGTGCACTCTTAAATTCTCAGTGTCATTTGGCATTTTGGAACTATATTCAGCTTTGACACCAAACACTGGTAAGACACACTTATTTGTAACTGTATGAGACTAGCCTTGGAACGCAAGGCAATCATCGACAATCATGAAAATGTTTCCGTGAGCCCAATGCCTAGGAACAACTTTTTCATGTGTTATAAAGTACTTGACCAGCTATTATGTCATTGAAGGAAAATGTGTTGAAAATTAAATAACCCCAGGGAAGACCTGAAGAACATATTGTTTTAAAAGTAGGTTATATCATGGATCTTAAAATACAGGTGACACCAGAAGTTTTAATTTCGCTTTTTCTCCCCTTTGCTCAGAGGCTCAGATGTTCACATTCATCAAAACAATACAGAATGTTCTGAATGCCTTCCACAAATTCCTCCTCTGTTCATACTGTAATCATGATTTCATTAAAATATATTTTCATACCTGTAATCTTTTTTTTTTATTCTTATGTTAATCCCCATACATTACATCATTAGTTCTAGATGAAGTGTTCCATGATTCATTGTTTGTGCATAACACCCA